AAAAAAAAAAAAAAAAAGACATGGCTGCAGTGCAGTTCACTGAGAAACACTTTCAGGTACACCTGCTTCCTGGGGATGTGGCAATTGGAGTAATTTAGAGCAGCTCCAGGGCTAGGGACAGACATTCAAAAAAGCCCAAACCTACATTGATTCAATCTTTGCAGGTTAGTCTAACCTGCAAAGACTGAACTGATTTGCAAGTGGATAAACAATTCACTTTTGAATAGAGAAATGCAGGCATATGTCAGCTGTCACTCAGGCTAGAAGCCAGGGGGCGCTAGAGCCAGCCCTCCCATACCCTTCCACACTGCCGAGCAAAGGAGGGGTGTGGCCAGGCCCCTGCAGGCCCTATGATTAGGGAGGGATTTAAACTCCCACCTTGGCCTGCACAGTCCCCAGCTCAGTATGCCTGGAGGGGGAAGGGGAAGCAGACCTGGCCAGGCTTTTCCCCAGTTCAAGGGGCAGAAGTGTTGCCAGACCCTGGCCCCCACTAGCACTCTGAAGCAGAGGGGGAGGCAGGGAGGACTGCTTGTGTGGACTGCATGCATCTGTTGATGATACTGAGTTTTTCAATACCCCTCTCCCTGCTTCTTCATACTGTCTGCATCAAACTGACAGGCACTGCATTCATTGCAAACCAGGCCATTTATCACACCTCTCTGTCCCTTGTTGAACACTAATTGCAACCAACAGATTTCTGCAGACAGTTTGCAGCCAGCAGGGTGCTTATCAGAACACAAAGCTTATCAGCCCATCAAGCACTACAAAAGACAACAGATGCATCTCTCATCAATTTCAAGCTCTTCTTATTTGCAGGGTACATTTGCAAGCCATAACTTCTAGCCCTAAGTGGACATAGTTTGGTATGCCTTTGTTTCAGTGAAACTGGAGACACACACACACACTTCAGCACTAGTTAGCATGGGGTGGCATGGCCAGATGCTGGCTGGGGTTCATGCTGCTGGGGTTTCTGCTGTGGGAGTGGCGGGAGGGGGATCCCTGCTTGAGCAGTGAGCGGTGATGGGGGGTGCAGGGGAAGTCTGGCAGACTGATTTAACTTAAACCAGGAAGGGGTCTGGGAAAGAAGTTCCATAAACTGGTTTGACCCAAATCAGTTAAGTCTGATGCTACATTCAACCAGGTTTATTTTAAACCAGTTTCAGCCATTTTGGAACTGGTTTATACGCACTGAACTTATGCTCTGTTACAGGTTGAAACCAGTTTCTGATCACTTAAACCAGTGTGTGTAACTTCTATCCCTAACTCAAGAGCATCCTTTGCCACATGACAGCAGATCAGCAGAGAACTGGGTCTAGGACCTGACACCCAAACTTCTGCATGTCTCCTCACTCCCCAGAAATCCCCAACACATGCCAGGCATAGCTGAAAGATCTGTGCCACTGCTCTAAAGGAAGGGGAGGAGAAAAGCAGTAACTATAATTAAAGCAGACAGGCAAGTGAGAAAATTGCATGAAGATGGCATGGAGTTGGAAGTGGAAGGAGACAGGAGAAAATGTGGCAGGAAAAAACAGCAACTTAACTTTAATATATTTGATTTGACCTATAAACCTTATGTAACTTAATTCTTTGACACAACAATTTGAATACTCTTAAATTGGTAGAAAGAACAGAAAGACTACAACAGCTTTCCCTATTTTTCTTCTCCTCCTTCCGATATACTGTTAGCTACTCTGGACTCTAACCAACTGGGGGAAACTGAAAATTAAAATGAAACAAAACCCTCATCATGGGGTATAGACAGAAGCCCCGCCACCCCCCCACCCCCAAAGCATTATGTCTGTCAATTTAAAAACAGACGGGGAGGGTGACTGACTACAAGGCAAACTGATTTGCTGCAACTATTTCAAACATGTCCGCTTTATCCTTCTGTAAGGGAAGTTAAAGGGAAGTAATCTGGAAGCTGTTTCACTGAGTAAACTTAAGACAGTTCAGCTTCTGAAATTCTTCTACTGCCACATGCTGAGACAGAATGGACAACCAGACTGGTTAAGGAAACAAGAGATCAATTTTCGTGGACCTCATGAAAAAGGCAGAGGATGGCTTCAAAAGGTTAGATTTTAAAACATTGTGGAAGAGTGAAATAGTCTTCATAGTAAGCTGGAATTTCATAGCATAGTCTTCAGGTTTACCCGAGGAACTGTGTTTAAAAGACCTGAAAGTTGTTTATTTCCTTTCTTCCCTCCCCAAGGAGAAAGCACTTAGGAAGCTACTATTCAATTTCATTTACATTGTATTTTTCTCAGAAGCTAGGCAGTATTAGTTAAGATGACATGGCTTTTTGCAACAAGGATACAGATATTTTGATGACAAGTAAATGGAAGTCCCATTTTCACTTCATTATATGGCGAATTGACAAAATTCTTATTCTGAAAAAAGCTACTAGTGTCATTCTCCGCCTAGTGATTTCCACAAAGATTTTTTACCAACGACACTCTCACAAAATTGCAAATATTTGCAACCTACCTGCAAGCTGGGCTGTTATAGCTTGAAATGGTAGTTTTCTGAACGTGTCTACTAGAGGCTGTACTTTCCTGACGCTGACCACCTCATGTTTGCCATAGTCCAGTTCATAAACCGATACTAGCCCATTTGTCAGAATTCCTTTTATCAGCACCCTGTACCATCTGGGGAAGAAGGAAAGGAGGAGAGAAAAAGGCTGTTAATTCATACACTGTGAATACAATTAGAAAAAGCTTTAAGATTATTTAGGGTGCGTCAAGGAAGGGAGGCATGGTAGGATGGAGAATCAGAGGCGACTAAAAAAATTTGTCATAAGTTACTTTTGCTTGATATTTTGTACAAAATAAGTACAAGTTCAGCACTGAAAAGAAGTGTGGGGCTCAGTTTTCAAAAACTGAGGAGGAAAGAAAAAGTGTTATTCAAATTTTGGTAGTGTTGGAGTGATGATGTAGCCATGATGGTCCTCCAGGATTTATGAAAGGCAAAAATTTTTTGAGGGTACATTTTATTGGACCAACCACATGGTTGGAATAAAGTTAGATAAGCTTGCATGCAAAGTATTATCTAACTTTATCCCAACTATGTAGTTGGTCTAATAATAAATAAGAAACCACCTCCAAAAAATCCTTAGTTCTTTCAAATTTTGAGTCACCCAACTTCTTTAGGCAGAAAGGGTGAAAGGGGGAAAAGTATCACAGAAAATGTGTGTGGGGGGCATATTTTGCCATCTTTACTTCCATGCAATGCTGAAATAGGCAAGAGAGGAAACCCTATTAACCAGAACAATTAAAATATTAAAAATAAATTTGTTCTCAGTTTTCCAGAAAGAAAAGAGTAGCTGCAAGTGAAATTCTTTTTGACTGGAAATTAATTTTTCATACAGTAAAAATTCACTAGAAGATGTGTCTGGCTCTAGAAATTGACACCACCACACCAGACTTAGAATCTTATGTAACTATTAAGCAGGGTATAAGCAATGCACATATTTTTAAGGAGATATTTAGAGGACAATGGAGAGGCTTTACAGATTGTTACAATAAGCAATTCCTTGCGCACAAGGAAGCTTCAAAAGCACTATGGGGTACAGGGGTAGGAGATGCACCCATATTAGATATAATCCTTAAAAAATGTGGAATTAAAGCTTTATAATTAGTAAAGAAAAATGGACACTGATACCATGTCAAAAATGAGATGACAGGTAAAACTGTTTAAAATATTTAAAGGTTTAAGTCGCATTATTTAAAAAATGACTTGGTCTAAGTCTCACTGAAGTGCAATAAGATATAGGTAACATTTTTAAAAGAACTTGATAGCCAAGGCAAATAAATCATGAAGACCCCTAAAAAAATGAAGGCAAACAGTTTGATGTTGTAGGAAAAGGTGAAATCAAAATAGCTGAAGAAACAAGTCAAGATTACTATTTTAACTGATAAAATAAAAACAACTTATGAAGAACCTAGGCATTTCTTTAAAAAAAAATTCACCTACCTTTTAAATACTTGGAACAATACTATATATTTTGTCAACAATACTGTTCTGGGTGGCAAGAGACTGATATAGATGAGTAGAAACAGTCATTTAACAAAAAGAGCAGTGTTAAAAAAATCTCAAAATAATAACTAACAATTAGGTAAGATGGCTGGTGCTTGATTGACAAGTCCTAAACACTCCATTAGCCAGATCCAGGACATCAGGGGGTAGTGGTATAACTGGGATGGAGAGGGCATGAGGGGACAGCAGCAAATGGAGCACCATCCCAGATGCCAATGAAGTGGGGGCACCAAAATGGCACCCCCGTACCTGGGGAGTCTGCACCCTGACTGCAGTGGCAATCAAGGCAGGCAAGCCACAGTGTGGCAGCAGCAAGGGACTTTTCTAAGACCCTGGAGCACGTATGTCTCTCATCCATTATCTTCCTCCCCTCTGGAGCTCAGCAACACCCTCAGGTCAGTGTTGCAGCCCATCACCTGGAAAGCAGAGTCTACGATCTTACTTTTTCCCTGACCTCCTGGATATGGATGGTAAATCTGCTACTTTGTTAGCAATGTGTGACAGACACTTTTCTCAAGGAACTGGAATGAGGCCAAACATTAAGAGAGACTGACACGCATGATACATTCCTAATTCAATAAAATCAAGCTTCATTAGCCAACATTTTAAGTGAATGTCTCTGTTGTCTAGCAGAATCAAGTCCTTTAAGTAGCACAGTAAGCAAAGCATGCTTTGAAGGAGTAGTGAATTATTATGAAAACAACACTTACTTATTTTCTACTTTAGCTGCATAGAGTTTGTTTTTCTGAACAGTCACAGGTCTGCCTTCTGCCATGCTATAATATAGAACCATTTCTTCCATAAGGACTTCTAGGTTATGTAGTTCTTGCCAAGGCTGGACAACAAAGTGACCAGGGTGGCAGGCAACTGAAACATATACATCCATGTGTTCCCCAGGCTTCGATAAAGGTAGAGGAGGGGGCATACAAATGGTAGACACCTCACTGCTAGGTTCTAGAACAGTCTTGACCGATTCAACGATGCATTTCTTGAGACCCATACTCATCAACTCTGAAGCAGGGAGATCATCACTTTTTCCCTTTAAAGAGCCAACTCCACTGGGAGCAGCACTTAAGAAAACATCTTTCTGATGCTTCCACAAGTCAGCATTAGTGATCTGCCGATTGATACTACGATCTGGATCTGGGAAGTTCTTGGGAGTGAACAAATAAATGTGTGCAATTCTCTTCCAGTCATCCAGCTTAGCAACCTATAATAGAAAGAATAATGTAAACTCTAGCTTTTCTTCTGTAAAAAGCTTTTATGTACAACTGAATATGTTTTTTAATAGCTAAAACAGTTATCAACAGCTAAAGAAAAGGGTTTAGACAGATGCTTTACAGCAGTGTAAATGAGTGAAAGGATGATAGCAATCTCTATAATGGTGTCAAATTACCCTGGAAAAAGAAAGAAAACTATCTAGGTGGTACTTTCTATCTTTCTACTTCCATGCCATGATAGCAGTTTGTTCAAAGGATATATATCTGCTCCCATACCATCTAGTGGCAAGTTGTGGTAATAGCACCTACACTACCAATAGTCCTCGTCCATTTGTCCACTCTGGATCACTCTAAACAAAAATCAATGAAGTTACACTGGTATATACATCTCCCCAGGCCTCAAATGCCTTCAAAATCTGGCAGTAAACACCTACTAAATTAAAGAGCAAAGTTAGCAAACAGTAATTTATAGTGGCTAAAAACAGCCAACTGCTAAATATGGAAGAGCAGGATTAAGGTTTCTTCTATTTCACACATAACACAGGAGTTCAACCTCTGTAGTCTGCATGAAAGATGCATCTGCCTCATTTCTTAACATAACCCCTAAGTTAAGGATTTTCAAGTAAGCCTGTTACATTTCTAACTGATTTTAAAAAATGGCCTTAAAGTTCAGATTTGAACCTAAATGTTCAGTTCCTATTATATCTTCCACAGACTGCAAAAAAGGAGAAATCTGAATGCAGTAAGTTTTAGGATATCTAATGCTAAATTTTGTTAGCTATAAAAGCAGTATTGATCATAACTGTATCATGCAACAGTTAAAGCAGAACACATGGTTTATATTGGCTGCATTTCTCCTCCAACATGATACAGTTTAGGAGAATAGATGGTACCCAGAACCACCCATCCTAACCTTTAAACAAGCACTGAACCTTGCCAACCTCATCACCAAAAGCAAGCTTCCTACAGCCCAAAACACACCAAACGGATCCAGACCACGCCATAACAAGAAACATAAAACCTGCCAACATATCTCCACCGCCCCTACAATAACTACACTCCACAACAGAACCATCACCATTTCTGGATCTTATATTACATTTATGCAGGTGTAAGTGCATCTCATCCAGTGCACCAAATGCCCTGATGGAAAACATGCACAAGTCAAACAACAACTGAGTACCAGAATAAACATACACCAAAAACCTATTAAAGACAAGAATACCCAGTTACCTGTGGGGGCACATTTCTCACAAGAAAACCATTCTCCTTCCAAATCTCTCAGTTCTAATTCTCAAAGAGAATTTACAAAACACCTTTCACAGATGAGCCTATGAACTTCACTTCATCAACCTACTGGATACAAAAAATCATGGGCTAAATATAGACACTAGATTTATGACACATTATAACCTGTCTAACATCCACGGGTGATGCGTGGGGGGGCACATGCCCCCTGAGATTGGCCGCTGCTGCCGCTGGTGGCAGCAGCTTCTGCGG